TCATCTGCAAATTTGCTGAGGGTGCTCTTTATTCCTTCGTCTGTCGTTGATATTCAAGCACATCCAAAGCAAGGAAATTACAATTTGTACTTTTTACGGCTGGATTAGGCATATGTAAAATCTAGTATGGACTGGTCATTTGTTTTGAGGATTTCAAGTCTAGTAATTTAGTTTTGCTTTTTCTCATGTGAATTTAGAGTATTTTCAAACTTTTAAATAGTTGTGAGTCTGAAGTATGCTTGACGTGGTGAATTTGAAAACATATACGGGCTTGTAGTGAATACATAGGATTCTCTGCCTAAAATCAATGTGTATTTCTGCTTCATTCATACAACAGTTTTACAAGTATGCACTTTTTTTTAATGAAAGAGGCAAAATGACAAAACAAATACAATATTTTGCACTTTTCAAAAATTATGAATCCTTAGTAGATACGGATCAAGATTTTCAAAGACACACAGGTTTTAAACCTCAGCTTCTTAAAAAGTAGGAAATGTATGATAAACATGCTGCACTAAAATTTTGGCAAAATACTCTGCATAGATTTTCTCAGAATTTTATTCGTTTTCTCCTTATAAAGTTCTGGGCCAATGTGATATGAGATACATGTCTTCACTTAGACTCCTTTAGACAAACTTACTCCCACTTACTACATTGTGTGAGTGAGAATGGAAGGAGTCAGAATTGGTGCAATTTACATACTGACAAGCAAGGAGGTGGTGTCAGTTTTAGAAGGTGGCCTGCTTTAACATATGCTTTCATACTCCTCCTTGATAATTTTTTTCTTATTTATTTCTTTCTGTCTTTTCTGTATGAAAATTATTGAAATGTTGACTCTGAAAGGGTGGGAACCATTTCACAGGTGCTGTATACCAAAAGAGGCACTTAAATATCTGTGAGAAGGTGACACTGAGTGAGTCATCAAGAAGGAGTCTTAAGTTGGTGTGATGTACATGTCATAAGAAGCAGCAGAAGAAACTAACTTAAAATCAGGCGTGCAGGATGAAATCCTGTCAGCTTTGTCATTAGCTTCAATGGGGACAGGATACTGTACTGGGGTCTAGATTTGAAAGTGTTCCACATGTGATTAATTCTACTTATTTTTCACCACAAATTCTTTTGTGCTGGTATATCGTAACTCTTTTATGTTGAAGAATTGAAAATTATTTCCTCGCAAGACACACTTGCAGATTTTTCTGATTCAGCTCCATGATATTTGTTGGTTTTAACTTTCTTGTGGTGATTACAGGTTGCAGTTGGCACCATGCCATTGTTTCCATGTCATGAGATAAAACAAACTAGTTATTCTGAAGTGTACATATTATGTTTAGCTTTGAAATTTCCACTGGTCTTTTCCCAAAGTTTATTTTGTTAAGTCCACCTCCCCCCAAAGAAACAAGCTCCATATTGCCTATGATGTATCTAAAGAAACAGTAAATATGTAAAAGTGATGAGAAAATCAGTAGCTTGTAAAGGTAAAACCAAGTCTCAGGTTCTGTACAAATGTCGTGTTTGTTAGGCATAACCCCCAGGGTTATTGAAGACTTTGAATTTTTGTCACTAAAATGGTCATATTATGGCATCTTTTGTATTAAACTGTGTAGTTATATAGAATGTTTTCAAAAGTATCTATTAGTATGTTATTTTTTTATTTTATTATTTACTCCTAGTTGTTTTCTTGTAAGATTTTTCTCCTAAAAGCATCAAAATGACGCTGGTTGGGAACAGGTGTCCATTGCTGTGCCCAAGACAGACTCCACTGGAAAAATCTTTTTCTGGATAGTTCATGTTGTGGCTAACACACGTTTATTTTCTGCAGATTTTCTATAGAGAAAGGAATAGCTGGTCAAGTGGCAAGAACAGGAGAAGTCCTTAACATCCATGATGCCTATGCAGATCCGCGCTTTAACAGGTAAGCTGTTACGCATGGGAGGAGAAGATAGCTCACCAAACCTTGTACTTAAATTTACTACTTAAATTTCATATTAGGATGCATTCATGGAGCTCTGATCCTCTGACGAGGAGAGAACCTGTAGATATCTATTTAAATGCTTTAGCCATTGGAGGCATTTTTAAGACAAAAATAAAAAGTATTATTTTTGTCTAATAGAAATATAATGGAGAAAAATTTATTTCTTTTTCCTGTTATGGAACTTTGCCCAGTTAGGTAGATTGTTGCTGACTTTGTTTATTAGTGTCCCTGCAATCTGATTAGTTTCAGGGGAGAAAAAAAAGTACCTAAGTACCTGAATGTATTCTTTAATTTTATGAATAAGCTGACTGTACATTTGAGGAAGTTACTAATTCTTTATCTTGCAAATGGAGATTACAGGATTAAAAAGTTCTTTCTAAATATGACACAGTAGATGGGAATATTTGAGAACTTTGGAGATGAACTTCTTGCAGGTGCTAATTAATCTGCTTTGAAAGTATTTAGTATATTGTACATCGGAATTTCTGAGAATCAAGGAATAGATATTTATTAATAATATTAACTCTCTTTCCTTTTTTGCTTTCTCTTTTGTGGCTCTCCAGAGAAGTAGACCTCTACACAGGCTACACAACCAGAAATATCCTGTGCATGCCTATTGTAAGCCGAGGAAGTGTAATAGGCGTTGTGCAGATGGTGAACAAAATAAGTGGAAGTGCCTTCTCTAAAACTGATGAGAACAACTTTAAAATGTTTGCAGTCTTTTGTGCTTTAGCCTTACACTGTGCTAATGTAAGTTTTATTAAGTTTTGTAAACTGGTGCTTATAATGGGAAGACTTAGAATCCTACCTAAGAATTTTTATGTTCCAGATTATTATTAAAGTGATTAGTAAGTCTGTTTCTTTGAATTAATGAGGAAACAGGAATCATTGAATTATTTACTGAATGATTTTATTTTAAGAGGATGATAGGGATTTATTTGATACTTTCTGAAATAGTTGTACTTTGGATATGTCAATTTCATGTAGCTAAACTGAGAGAGCAGGCTCTGAAATGGGAATGGTATCTGTCTTTTCCATTAGAAACCATGATTGTTATTTACTTTTATAAATTGAGATCACATGTTTTACAAATTTAACTAGGAGATGGCTATGTTGTCTAGTCTCTCAATTCCATATGCTTGGTATTCACAGATACCAATTTATACTTTTATATGCGTGCTGTGCTGTATACTTATAATTATACATGCTTCTAGATAAGAGTGGATAGCTATTTTTGTTTTCAAATCCTTTATCGTCACAAAAATTGCTATTCTTTTAGGAAGTGTAAACAATTTAATGATCGTTACTGTATAAGTGTAAAAATTCAATAAGTGCAATAAAAATGCAATGCCGAAGAGATGTGTTGTATGAATGGGAGATAAAATACAATGCAATGCCGGTTAAGCCTAGTGATTTGTATTAAGCCATTTTACCAACATCATGCTGTCGATATACTGGGGCAGCAAATTTTACTAACAGTTACTTAAACCAACATGACTCAAGGCAAGTAGAAAGGCCTTCATATAAATGAAACTTGGGACTATGCAGTCACTCAGCTGTGTGTGAGTTCACTCTTTTTAGATGGTGAAAGTTACCATTCAGGGCACACTACTCCAGAGGGTTATATTTACTAGTGAAATTCTTGTATCCTCAGCTCTTTACAAGCCATGCAATGTCTGCAATAGCTGTCTGAACTTCTCAATAGTTAACTGTACTTATTTTTCACAGTTATTGCATGATAGTGTAGGTATGATAAACATCTCATGTACTTTTTGCTGTGCATAAGTAGCAGTTATTGATACCAATTAATAGCTGAATTCATGCAGTCGCCCAAAATATGAATTGCATGCCCTGTTATCAGTTTTCTTTCGGGTCACATATTGCAAGGGACTGAGCTCTGTTTCTAACTCGTGAACTTTGATTCTTTTTCTTGGGAGAGCTCAGACACAATGAAAAGTCAGCCAAGGCTTAGATGTTTATCTGACTGAGTAGAATCACATATTCATAGAATCACAGAATGGTTTGGGTTGGAAAGGACCTTAGAGATCATCCAGTGCCACCCCCTGCCATGGGCAGGGACACCTCCCACTAGCCCAGGTTGCTCAAAGCCTCATCCAGCCTGGCCTTGAACCCCTCCAGGGATGGGGCATCCACAGCTGCTCTGGGCAACCCGGGCCATTGCCTCACCACCTGCACAGGGAAAATTTTTTTTTGTAATATCTGATCTAAATCTCCCCTCTTTCAGCTTATAACCACTACCCCTCATCCTATCGCTACACCCCCTGATACAGAGTCCCTCCCCATCTCTCCTGTAGCCCCCTTTCAGCACTGGAAGGCTGCTGTAAGGTCCTCCCGGAGCCTTCTCTTCTCCAGGTTGAACAACCCCAACTCTCTCAGCCTGTCATCATATGGGAGGTGCTCCAGCCCTCTGATTTTTGTGGCCCTCCTCTGCACCTGCTCCAATAGCTCCAAGTCCTCCTTACACTGGGGGCCCGGAGCTGGACGCAGTAGTCCAAGTGGAGTCTCACAAGAGCAGAGCAGGAGGATCACCTCCCCCAACCTGCTGGTCACGCTTCTTTTGATGCAGCCCAGGACACGGTTGGCTTTATGGGCTGCCAGTGCATACTGCTGTGTATGATGTACATATGATGTGATAGAAGGCCCAGTTTTCCAAAAGTACCAAATTTCATATAAACTGTTGCTTTTCTAATGTGTGAAGTTGAGCAGCCAAAAGCACTAACTTTTTTGCAGAAGTGTATTTTAAGAATAAGTGCTTGAATACAGGGAAGAAATGTTTTTTCCTTTCTTAAAATTTCACACTAATGAGTGACTTCCCTTTTTCAGATGTACCACAGAATTCGCCATTCAGAGTGTATTTACCGTGTAACGATGGAGAAGCTCTCCTACCACAGTGTTTGTACAGCAGAAGAGTGGCAAAACCTCATGCACTGTACACTGCCTCTACATATTTATAAAGAAATTGAACTGTAAGTATTTTTCTCATATAGCAACAGTTGCACCTTGTATCACTCTGTGAAAAAGGTGATTTATTTTTTTTTCTTCTTTCCTAGGTGTAGTGGAGGGTTTTGTAGGAAACACTTATATTATTGACCTACCCCAAAATCGTAGGGGTTTATCTCTGGCTTTCTTATACTTAAAGACCTGTGAAGAAAATGTATCTATCAAAGATGCAAAATAATACCGACACAGAATGGTAGCACTTTCCCTCAAGCATACGTAGCTGCAGTAGTTGCTTAATCATTAGTTTATATCTAAGGACTGTAGAGTAGAACTTTCTTTCTGATAGTCCCAAGTCACCAACATCTCGGAGCCAGAGAAGCTAAGCTGGAAGTCCTGTAGCTAAGACCAAATGCATGATCTGAGCCCCTTGCCTATGTCTTAGAATAAAAGAGCCAGCTCATTTCTGGGATTTTTTTGAGTTGTGTGGTTTCTGGTTTTGGGCTGGGGGAGGAGGGGCAGAGTTGAGGTTTGGGATTTTTTTTCTTTTTGTGTGTGTGTGTGTTTTGTGCATCTGCCTGTGTTTCTTGAAGGAGGAGAAGATGGATACAGATTTCTCAACTTCTGAAGATAATTCAGGGTTATGAATCCCAGGTGTTAGAGTTCAGAGTTGCGGCCTAAATTTGTAGGAGGGCTTCCCATCTAGCCTCTTAGGCTTTCTCTGAAATAAGTCATTTACTTTCAGCTCTAAAGGGTGTGTGCTGAAGATATACCTCTATGTGTATTTTATCAGTCAGTCCCCACTCAACACCAACACCGGGACTCATCTCATTTTTTTGTCACTGTTTCTGGGCCAGGACAATAAATTCTATGGTAGTGACCAGGTGCCTAAAGTCAAAACTCTGTGATTTTGAGTCACAAAATCTAAGTTGTCTTTGTAAACCTCATCTCCACAGCTTGCTCGCTTCTCTCAGGTGCGGAGCATCGTGGTTGTGAGCGAGCAAGGCATGCGAGCGTATGCTTAAAGTTCATTACAGGATGAAGTGATTTGCTTGAAAGCCTCAGTATTAGCAGCTTGCAGGATTATACCCTAATAGAAGCTTATTCTTTGCAATGCAATTTCTTCTGCATTGTTAGATGATATTATATAACCCACCTCCTCAGCAGAAATGACTTTTACTTGCCAAGATGACAGGTTTCACTCTAAATTACATTAACATCCTTTAGTTTGAGCAACCTGAATACACTTAACTGTTTTCCAGACGATTCAGCTGCCTTCAGCTCTCTTGCACCTGCGGTGTTGCTCAGCACGGCACGTCTGTGCAAGCATTTAGCTGGGTTCGATGGAAAGTAAATAGAAGACTTGCAGCACAGCAGGTGCATGGAAAGGGGTTAATTAATAATCGAAGGACAAACAGTACGGCTGAGCGGGTCCCTAATGTCAGGCCTAAGTGTTGATATTGGGAGAGGGGAAAAGTCCTCAGCTAATGAAACATAAAAATGCAGTATTAAATTTTTGGTTTTTGAAGTTTGGGCTTAATTTCTGTTAGCCAGTAATTAATTTTTTTTCCTCTATCAAAACTAGAGTGAGTGTTACAGAATTTGTGACAGATATGACTGGGAAAAAAGCCAGTAAATATATTATTAGAGACACCGTCTTTACAATCCCTGGGAGGAAAGTCTGAAATAGTTTAGGAGAGCCTGTAAAGCTCTCATCATCCCTATAAACCAAAGATTTTTGCACATTACTTAAGCAATGAATCCTTAAATAAAGATTTATGTTTCTATTAACTAAACAAAGCCAAAGGCTAACAGTTGGACTCGATGATCTTAAGGGTCTTTTCCAACCTAAATGATTCTACGGTTCTATGAGCATAGTTCCATTGACCTTAGCGGAAATCTATTCTGTTACATTGCTGGAAGATATAGCCTGTAAAGTCAGTTTTGTGGGTGTATTCAGAAACAAGTGAATGCTGTTGGATATACATTACCTAGTCATTTTCATTTGCTTTTAGTAAGAACGAAAGGGTGTTTGTCCTCACTACGATGAAACTTTCTTCTTAGATACCACTTTGATATCAGTCCATATGAGGATGTCTGGCCTGCCATTTTTGTCTACATGGTTCACCAGTCCTGTGGGACAGCCTGGTATGAAGTACATGATTTATTGCTTTAATTCTGTTATTTATGCGTTTATTTATTTGGAAAATTTGATGTAATTATTTTCTAGTTCAAGGTGTTATTTTCTTTGGAGTGCATTGACTATGTTTGGTCTGTACAGCACTGTATAGGCAGGCTGGATTTCTTGGCCCAGCCTCTTGGTCTTCAGTTAATAAAATTTGGGAACTTCCAGATAAAATAACTCATGATATCATCCAAACCGTTGTCCTTCCAATGTGTAGAACTATTGTTTGTTTCTGAGATGAGATGGCTTATCAGACAGAAGGTGGAAAATATATTAAAGGCGCTCTTGCCAAAAAGGAGAGAAGGTCCATGAATGCTGATTTTTCAAATAATGCTGAAATTAATATACTATATGGTTAAAAAAATCCAAGGTTAGATCTTATTTTGCTAAATAAGTTATCAGCATCGTTGTCCAATGATTATGTAAGTGAATGATTTGCAGATGAAGTGGTTCATTTGTTGTACTTTCAGTGTCCGTTATCATGACTGAGATCAGTAGTCTCTTAGCTAATTATGTCCCATTGCTGAAAGAAAGGAACTGCTCCAAATTATGGAAAAAATCTACAGATGAGTAATTGAAAGTATTTCCGTGCAAAAACGAGCAACATTTGGGAAACATTTGCTGGTGACTGTTTGATCTTAGTAACTGCATGGATCACCATGCCCTCAAAGCATTCAGTCAAACCTGAGGGTCTTTCACGTGTCTTATTCATTTCTGCAAAGTGGGTGGCTGTTCTAAATACAGTTCACTGCTCGGTGTGATGAGCTTGTTTCTGTTCCTGACTGAATGGCTGTGGATGCAGGACTGGCGTTCAAATTTCCAGCTAAGTTCTCTTCTTTTCCCTCTCTGTCCCCCAGTCTCTTGCTTTCAATGTGTAACTTTAAGGGGAAAGAATTGATATCTACTTGATGTTTGTCAAATGAGTCTCAGCTTTAACGCGTAAAGTTAAATAAACAAAATATTTGAAAAGGAGGCTCTTGAGACTGGACTGTTTAATTTATGAAAGAACAAAACTTCTCAACCCTCCGAAACAAGTACAGCTATTTTGAGACTAAAATTTTATTTTAAAATATTGAGGAGTAAGGTTGTGCCTTTAAGTATACAGCGATGTAATGTATAACTGTCCTGTCCAGGGAGGATTTTGGAGAAAAATTTGTGATACTCGCTACATTTTCTTTGCTCTTAGGAAGAAATAATCTTTTACTGCTTTAATCAAGTATACAGATCACAGCAATGGAGGAAGTAATAATATTCTATGTTGAGCTGTCATTGATAATGTTTTTCCCTTTGGCTACAACTGTGCTATCCTGTAGTAACCATTGACTTGATATTGGATGTAGATGGAAATGGCTGTTGTGATACTCTGAATTATGATGTACTGTTTTAAACAGTACTTCTAACAATTCTTCTACAGCTGTCTGACATAACTCTCCAGAATTAAAAAAGAAACCCTAAAGCTTTTTTGAAATACAAGATGCTTCAGTTTTTACTAATGTCAGACTAAGGCTAAGAAGAATAATTACCTTTACTGAGCACACAGCCTTGGAAATATGTTTTTTTATCTAATTGGCTCCATAAAGTAGATGTGTTTACATCTTTACGTGTAGAGCGGAGACATTCAGCTTTGTTTTCTAAGCCCACATATACTGCAGAACTAGAACATTAATATCAGTTCCCTGAGGTACCCAAGTAATTATCAAAATATGGAACCTAAAAAAAACCCAAAACAAACAAACAAACAAGCAAACAGAAAAACACAAAACAAAAAAACCCCACGGCAATGGGAAAAAAGGAGAATAAAGGAAAACTGCTTTGTATATGAGGGGAAAAAATCAGTGACTTGGGACTCTGGCATCTTCAGTTTGGTTCTGGGTGCTAGTGTAATATTCCCTTTTCACCCAGAGCAGTACCAGATTAGGTACTTCAGAAAATATTACCTGAGACCTAATCATTGTCTGAATTTCCCATCTGTAAAAAAAAAAAAAAAAAAATAAAAAAAAAAAAAAGTATTCAGCTTTCCTTTCAAAGGAGCAATGGTAGATAAAGTCTATTAAAGACTGGGCAGAGCTCTCTCAGAGGTGTTTTTGATGAGCACATAAGCCAAACATAACAATGACTTTATTACTGCTTTTTATTATTACCTTAGTGAAAATACTCTTGATTATGAATTCATTTGGCTTGTCTGTATTAATAGCAAAAATATATAAAAAAAATCTTTAAGAAATAATCTCATAAATGCTATAGATTTGAGGCATTTTCATGACAGACCAGCAATTATTTAACAACATATTGTCTGGTGAAAAATGAAGAAGCAGTGAAATGTGAATTTCTGTTCATTTGGCCAAACTGAAAAAAAAAAAAAAATCTTAGTCTTGGAAAAAGTAAAATCTTCTTTTCACAATGTCAATATGGAGTATCTCAAGCTTTTTTCTTCAAAACAGCTTACGCATTTGGCATTTGACTGAAACCTTAATTTAAGCAGGATTATTTTTTTCTGTGGCATTTGCTTAAAAATCCCTAATTTTCTGTTTTGATCACAAATTATGTTTTCAAACTGTCCATTAGATGCAAAGTTTCACTATTTGTCAGTCTGAATAGATAATGATTTAAAGAAATGACACTTCAAGTTTCTGGGAGCAGAGAAGGTTATGCAGTTGTATTGCCTGAGCTGGGGTAGCTTGATTTATGTTCCAGAAGTGTACAGATTAAACTAAGAGCATTGTCAGATATCCATGCTTCTTTGTCCTTGCCAAAAATTGAATAACTCTGGTAATGAATGAGTCATCGGCAATGAGAGTTAATCCTAGCAAGAAAAGTAAATCAAAGAGCATCTTTTCTCCTTTGTTGGTTATTTTTCCCGTTCTTATTTCTTGTCTCTGACTACATTATTTTCTTTCTAGCTTTGAGCTTGAAAAGCTATGCCGATTTACCATGTCTGTAAAGAAGAATTATCGCCGTGTGCCCTACCACAACTGGAAGCATGCCGTTACCGTTGCACATTGCATGTATGCCATACTTCAGAACAACCAGGGGCTTTTCACTGATCTAGAGGTAGGTGAGATGATTGTATCAGTGACTAGACCTCATTGGAGGTATGAGCCATCCTGGAAGTACATTTTCTGTGCTAGAGTTTTGCTGTCATCTTGGACAGAGATCCCCACAGAGGAATTGGTGTGAGTAGAAAGTTTGAGGAAGGAGAGCCATTCAGATTCCTAATCCTAGTGTTTCCTTCCCATTTTTCACTTCTGCCCGTTGAAAAAAAGCAGTAGCACGTTTGCTAAAATCCGTGTCCACATTTCGAGGTTCTCCCTGCTCACTTACAGCTACAGTCTTTATTTTAATTATTTAATTAACTGTCAGATCTGTACCGAGGAGAGTGAAACACCCTGGATCTTGAATTCTGTGAGGTCTGGGAGACCTGAATAGGAGGACAGAGGAGAAGATGGTTGACTTACGTGAGTAAAGGAGAAGAGTAAAAAGGATGGAAGGAAAACAGTTGTCCACATGTGCTAATTCACTGGTTGACTTTTATTATACAACCGTTTTCTTTGCATGTGTGTACATGTTTTAAGGATAAATGAATGGTGTTTGAGAAACTCAGGGAAGAAAATACTTTTAATAGATTACTAACTGGAAAAGTTATAATAATAAAATGGAAGGCTTAGAGTGGTTAAATGTTAATATACATGATGAAGAACTGCCCCTTCTTTTTATATGAGTTACGGGAGGTGCAACTGGGAGTGCTGTCTATTATTAATACAACCTGAAACTTCTGACTGGGAGAATGTGTTTTCAGTTGTATCTTTGCCAAATATTGGCCATTTGAGCTGTAACTTTCCAAGCTCTGTGTCTTCCTCAAACTGGCTCATTTGGGGAAATTGCAGACGAAATTGTTTGGCTCTTTTAAAGAGAGGTGCTAGGAGAAAGCAAGTTTTTGTTCAGTATATAGGAGTAAAATAAAATTTGGTGATCTTTCCTTTGAAAAGGTCTAGTTTATTCTGCTGTAAAGCAGGGACTTGAAAATTAACACTGAAGTAGGAAAGTGACATTTGCTAGGCATGTGCTGAAAGTCGGCAAAGCTATACAGGTTTGAACAAATCAGTATCCCTTTAACAATAAAAAAAATCTGTGGATTGCAGCCTCAGGGAATAGATAAAGTGCTGATAACGTTCAGTACTAACCAAATAGTAAGCCCCATCATTTTTGAGACAGAATAAGAAATACAGGGAGAGCAGGAGAGGCAGCGGTTAAGAGAGGTGGAAAGAGTCTTTGTTCTCTGACGAACTCCAGCCAGCTGTTACCTGTTTGAATGCCTTATCCCAGTCTGTGTTCCAGCTCTTTCTAGCGGTCTCCTTTCTTGAGACTGGAGATGAATCCAACAAGAGTGCAGGAAACTGCTGAAGGAGAGTTTGGGGAACTAAGATGGGCTGGTCTCTGGTGAGGAATGATGATGTGAACCTCGACAGGGTTCCCTCGATGGGGAGAGAAGTGTGAAACACTGGAAAGGGGACCCTGATCTAGAGACAAATAGATCCAGCAGTTGGGAGCGGTCAAAGAGTTGGGATCCAAGCAGGGACGAGGTGAAGAGCACGGGAATTAGGCATTGTATAATCCTTAAGAATGGAAACACGAGTGACTTCCTGGGACATGGAGACTGGGACAGGCTAGACAAAGAGAACCATTTGGTACAAGGGACAGGCTGATGAGAATTGTAAGACTGGAAAAAACACAGGTTGTAACTAGGAGAATTAAACTTGTTGGGGAAGGATAGAAAAGCTTGTGCCCACTAGATCTAACATGTAGCACAAAGGATTCCGAGACTCATCTTTCTTTTGCTGTCAGAGACTGTTTCTCAAGTCTATTGGTTACCCATCTTGCCCCTCCTGATAGTAGTGAAAAGAGGATAGCAGCTTCCTGCAGCTGATACTGCACAACTTCAAGTAAAATAGGTGTGTGTTATATTCCTAAGGATTCTGCTTCTGCTAAGGATCTGTGCGAACGTGTGTTGTTGCATTGTCCATTTTATTATATGCTTTTTAAAAATGCGCGTCACAAGATGCAATACTGAAAAGACATAATTAAAAAAATAAAACTGAAGGATTTAAAATGGGAGTGAAGTTCTTGAAATAAGAAACACAATTAGGGTTGCTGCAGTCTCAATTCTGCGCATTTTATCTTTGTGATAAAATCTTTAGTTGCATAGTTTGCTATTTTTCTACAGAATCATGTGCCTCAATACAGTATATAGGTTGGATGTTGCTCAGTTAATAGGTGGTTAATCAGTATTGGTTTTCTGCTTAGTTTTGTAGCCTTATCCTTATTTACTGAATGCACATCAGAACCAACTATAAGACAGAGCTGTTAAGTCTACAAAGACATTTTCATGATACTTTATGCTGACAGTGCCTGCCTTGCAAACATTAATGAACGTGTTTTCAAAACACACCCGCTATGTGAAAAAGTTTTGCAAGTGTTCACATAGTTTGTGGGCTGAAATATATTTCAGGGACTCCGTTTCTTTGGGTTATTAGCAGTTAATGAAATAATTAAAAAATAAAGTTCCAGTCTTTCTTTGTTTCCCATTGCCATTGTCCAGTGTTTCTGTGGCTCACATTAGTGAGCTCCTAGGAAGAGTTTCACCTAGGAGACTGGGTCTGTGTCTTTGAGGAATGTTGCAGAGGCAGGGTTACTTCGGAATTTTGTACAGCTGCCTTGATCAGGAAATCATACAGCTTATATATTTCCTCTCCCTCAATAACTGCAATTTTTATTTTTTAGTAAGGATTCAGTGGATGACCAGACTATCTGTTAAAAACTCAGATTTCTTCCTGAAGCAGAATCACTCTAATAGCATGTGCTTGTGCAACAATGCTTTTTTAATTCATAATACGTAAAATGTTTGAATTATGATTGGACTGAGAATTTTAATTCAGCACATCCTCACATTCGTGTTTCTCGCAATTTTAAGGACGTTTCTCCATGTGCTTTTTGAAGGCAGTGTAAGCATAGTGCAACTTTTACAGTATTTTGGGAAAAGAGTGACATCTAGGGGCAAGAAATACATCTTTTCATCTTTATCTCAATTTTTTTTGTAGCGAAAAGGTCTTTTAGTTGCATGCTTATGTCATGACCTGGATCACAGAGGTTACAGCAACAGCTATCTTCAGAAATTCGATCACCCTTTAGCTGCTCTCTATTCCACGTCAACGATGGAACAGCACCACTTCTCGCAGACGGTGTCCATCCTGCAGGTAGGATTATTGAAATTGCATCTTCTGTGCAGTGGAGTCCAGTGGTGGAAATAGGAGTCACATCATTACCCTGTAGATTTTCCGAAGCATGCCTAATTTAATTTCTGGATTCTTGTGCTCATTTAGAAGTGTGGATGATTTATTACAGCAAGCTAGGTTCCACAATGAGCAACCCAAGTATTCAATACTATTGCAAAACATATCTTTCCCAAAATCTTGATATTATAAAAAATATTGTGTGTTTGAAGGTCTTTACTTACGGCCTTGGAGCTTTTGGTTTCTGGGTCAATGAGGGTTTTTCCTATGGCCATATGGAATGGGAACTTTGAAAATGAAAAAATCAGTTTCTCAGATATTTCTGCCATAATGTACTTCAACAAAATCTTTAACCATCCTGAAATTCTGAATATAAACTCAAGCACTGGCTAAAGTTTGTATGAGGAGCTTGAAAACCTGCTGTAATAAATTCTGTGGACACAAAATGTGCGGCATGAAGGAGGAAATGTTAATTTTGCACGCATGAAAAGTTTAAAACTCATTCATTATGTTATCGTGTGTTGTTTTGTTATTCAGCAGTTTGAAATAAAAAACAAACCTGAGTAAGGCAGTACTTTGGGAAGGAGAGTTCCTAAGATGAGGTAATGTCTCTGTATGTTTAATGAAAAGGAAACTAAGAAAGCATGTAGGCACATTTTGGGAAATCCAAGTGTGCTACTGACACACAGATACTTTCTCATCAGTGAAAATTTTTTTCATGCTCGATTAGAGGAGTGAGAACTCTCACCTGTGAAACCTCTGCTAGTCCATAGCGTACTTGCGCTCACTGGTTTTAGTTTACTATGCCACACGCTCGATGCACAGCTTCTTTCTGGTCTTTCAGGAGGAAGATATTTATTTTCTTAAATACCTAATCACCTTTTAGGAAAAATAACATGTTCTGTATTGTATTCAGAAGTACATCTTGTGATTGTGGTTTTAGGTGTCATAGACATTTCATCAGAGAATGGAAGCTTTCTCTCTGAATGCTCCTCCATGTAGGAGGATGTAATTGTATCCTTCAGTGGTGGTGTGACATGAGATTCTTAGTATTCATTCTTCATGTGCACAGTGAGCAAGTTCCTCAGTTGTTAACACTTCTCTGTCCCACTGTGACTACAGGAAGCGGACTTCAGTCGTTCTTCAAAAACCATTTTGTGTTTTTCCTGGAGAAATATTTTACTTGCTGAAAGTCCTATTTACCAAGAAGGCAAGGAACCCTTTTGCTTCCCTGCTACCTCCTAGCCTCGGCCATCAGTGTGAGCGAGGACAGAGAGAGAGGTGGTGAGGGCTGTAGAATGGGTTCATTGGTGCCTTTCATTGGTTCAGTGGGTGCCTACCCAAGAGCCCATGGGTGGTGACTATCAGCAAAGGCAGATTAGAGGAGCCTTTTGCACTTGCTGGTTTTTGTTTCAGTCAAAAAGCCTTACTGAATTCCTGGACTGGTACCAAAAGAAAAAAAAAAAAAACAAAAAAAACAAAAAACAAAACCAAAAAAACCCCAATGATACCCAACAAACCACCAAATCCTTTTAGGATTTATCTCAATTAGTTTTAATTTTGTGTTAGTAACCTGCGGTACTTTTCACGTCTTGAAACTTTATAACTGCTTTGCTTAGCCACTTGCAGTTCTGGTGTCCGGCATACTTATGCATACAGAGGATTCCATTCACTAGCTTTAGCTCAGCAGGGAAAGAATAAAATCTTAGGAGCTGTACTTCGTGTGTACTACTCAAAAGCCTAAGTGGCATACTCAGAAGTGGCAGCGTCCTTCAGTACTTAAAGGGATCATTGGTTTTTTTATCTTGCAGTGGTCTTCTTGATAGTTCAGCATCTAGAGCATAAAGGTGATGGCTCCAAATCTAGAATAATTTAAATATTAGTACAAATAGCATGTTCTCATGGAGTAGGCAGCATGGATGGCGAGAAAAGAGTCCCCAAAACCCTGAATCATGAAAATTACTAGTAGTCAGTTCCTGGTCCCAAAGTGTTGATGATGGGTTAAAATGTGCTCAACTTTTTTTAAACGTCATGTTCTAAGACTTAGGAGGCTGTCAAAAGAGCATTGAGATGCAGAAGGATTCTATTTTCTAGTCATTATGCACAGTAAATCTACTTGTCCGAGCGAAAATGTTGGAAAATGATGTTTACGTTCCGGGTGGTGAGAGAAACCAAGTCTGTTTGTACCACGGAGGATTTATTTTGAACAAATTATGGAAATGCTTGACGAAAGTCAGGAAAACTTTTTATGAGCTTCAGCCCAAATGCCAATTAAATGTCAAAACACGTCTGCATCTGATATATTTTAATAATATTTTCTATTTGTGAATGTGCACACCTTGACGTGGCTGGCTCCTTCTTCCTTCTTTCTCTCTGTTTCCTCTCAACAGCAGGACAAGTTGTTTTCCAAATCTTAGAGACAGCGAATAGTGTTGACCTTTCAAAATGTGATATAGCTTCATGAGCAATCACAGTACATGGATATTGTCAGTTAAATGCACAATAACGCATAGTGGAAATTGAAAAGGTATGACAGTGGTGTGTTGCCAGAGCCTCCAGAGTTGTCTTTAGTTTATGAGTCAGTTGACTCATGGTTGAACAAAGCAGCTTTCCCCCGTAAATGTTAATATACATTAAAGTACTGTAATTAACTTTATTTCTATAGAGAAAATTGTATCAGTAAATGCAGCAAGTTCAGGCACACCTCATTTGGAACACTATGAAAACAAAATTATTTTAGTACTTTAACTTGGATATTTCCTTATCCATATTATGGGTTATGCAGTATCAAAATTGTACCTCGGAGTGGATCAGACACTCAGTTAACCAACTCGGCAATGCAGTACACTGGGATCAGGATTGAATCACAAGTTCCCAAGCTAATTCTGTCTGTAAGCGCTGCATCTTCTGCTCTGATTTATAAACACTACACAAGCTAGCATTTTTCTCTATTAATACTTTTAGGTTTCAGAAGGAGCAGTCCCAAAACCAAATCAGTGGCTTAGTCATGGGTTTCATGACGGTATTTAGAAAGGAAAGGTAAAAATGGGAATTTCAGGCTGTCAGCATTTGACTTTGCAACAAAAAATTGTTATTGGGCTATTAAATAACTGTAATCTGTCTGGTGAAGTAAAGACTAAAATCATCTCAGAATTAGAGCTTGTGCTTTTTATTGGTTTTTTACTTTTTCATAGCTGGAAGGGCACAATATCTTCTCCAATCTGAGCTCCAGCGAATATGAGCAAGTACTTGAGATCATCCGGAAAGCCATCATCGCCACAGACCTAGCCCTGTATTTTGGAAATAGAAAACAGCTGGAAGAGCTGCACCAGTCAGGAGTATTAAACCTTAAGAACCAAGCACACAGGTAAAGCAGCAAACTACTATTATTTCGCTATGGCATTAGTCCTAGAAACAAAAACATTGTTTTTGCAAAAGATAACCAAGAATTCTAGTTAAAAAGAAAGATAATTCTTCTGTGTACACAGTAATTTTCTTACATATGAGATTTCTAAGACCAGCTGCGTGTAAAATTCCAAGCGTGTAACAGTAGTTTCCATAGTTTTGTATTTGCATGTTCCAGTCTTTGGATGTCATCTGCACCGTTCAGTGACAAATCATCTACAGAGGGAAGTTAGTGCACAGGCAGTTAGGTGGTGGGGAAAAAAGTGTAGTGCAATAATTGCTTAGTTTTAATTTTATGTCAATATTTTTATTATTTTTTTATTATATTTTATTATGTCAACATGGTTCTTCTGAAGGAATTCTGGTCAGAACTCAACCTTTGGGAATTAAGATCGCTTTAAGTTTTAAAAATATACGACATATGCATTTATTCATAGTCATAAATACATACCTCTTGTTGTCCAGATAAGCAAAGTGTACTGCACCCTGGATGAAAGATGTCTCTCCTAACAGGCTTCATTAAAGTGCTCACACAGCCCTTCAGAGCTTCTTTACTGGGAAGTTGGTCTTGATGACAAGGGAAAAATTAGGTAAAATGGGAAAATACTGAGTCATCATTCTGATTTCTTTTCAAAAGTAACTTTGGTACTTGGGTCTTCTTTCTGAGGAGTTTTACAAGTTTTTCCCAGTAGTTTTGAATAAATTATTACAAGACTCTAGAAACGGCTGTTTCAAAAAGCTTATTTCACAGTATGGAACTGAAGCTTACCAGACTTGAATAAACCTCAGCATCTTAAAAAGACAAAGATATAGGAGCATCTGATAATATCCGAATTGAATTTACCTGAAATCTTGAATTTAGGGTTAATAAAATTTAAATGGGATATTCAATAGTACAAAACTATTTAGGGTGTGATTGAATATTCTGTTTATATTTTTTTATCTTACCTGCTCTCAGAGCATTTTCAGCGCAAAGCCACACTGCCCAAAGGTAGGGCATCTCTCTTTAAAGAACAGAAAGAAATGCAGCAACAGGGTGTGCCACCTTTCTTTTTATAGGCTTGGACTGTATTTTCAGAAAATTGAGGAGGGGTATGCGAGTGTCTTAGCAGGCAGACATTCTTGTGCAGTTTTCTACGATTGTGATTGTGCGGAGGATAGGCAATGAACTCTGTCTGCAAACGATGCAGGGAATACTACGGGGAATATAAGACACAATTTGTGTGATGCCTTACCCATGAATCATCAAGAAGTGAGGAAAAAACAAGCAAGGTGGGAGAAGGTTTGTGGTATTTTTACTTTGCTGATGATTGAACTGAGGAAGGGCAAATAAAAACTTTGCAGTGTGACCATTAATTCTTTACCGAACTTACGATTTAATGGTGTTTTATTTTAGAGACAGAGTGATAGGTCTGATGATGACAGCTTGTGATTTATGTTCCGTAACAAAGTTGTGGCCGGTGACCAGACTGACAGCCAACGACATATATGCAGAGTTCTGGGCTGAGGTATGTATGTCTGTTGTTTGCTCACTTATTTATAAATGGAAGTATCTAGGAAGAAAAAAGCAACCGTAAGTATTTTTCAATAGATATCCTAATGTGCTTGTTTTAGAGTGTTCGTTGGCGCATGCATGTGTTTTGTTGTTTAGTCTGAAGTTATTTAAGGAGCTAAGTTAGTCTCCTATTTTTCAGGCAGTGTTTCTTCTCTGTTAACGGTGAATTTAGAAAGTATGTCTTTATCATAAAGTGACCAAGCAACAGAATACAGAAGAAAATCTGTAGGGTTGTTTGAGTCTCTAACCGTAGTTTTGTGAAGGATCTGTTTGTATTCTAGAAATCCAAAATATGAAACCAGCTTCCAGGTCAGCTGCCTTGAAACACGCTTATAAAGCTGTAGTATGAGTCCAAGAAATGCTAAAGCAAATATGACAAACTTTAAAATTGTTCCGGTCTGACCATTTGAATCTTCCTGGTGAGTCAGGTCAACAGCTGGGTCTCAGAGAGCTGATTTTTTAATATACTGAAAGTTACTCGACAGATAAGATCTCTTGAGAATTGCAATAGGGCATTGGGCTGTGCTAATATTCGTGTTCATAAAGATGAAATCTCTCATACATCTTATGCTGAGGAGTAAGTGTTGTAATTGTTTAATTTTTAAACTGAAAGTGACTACTTTAGGGTTATACAGAATAAATTTTGAGAGTGTTGCATAGAGTTGAATGAGGCAGTTTTAGAAGATACGCTGTATTTTCAGAACTCCTGTAGCACATGTGTATCATAAAGTGTTCTTCTCGGTTACGTGCCCAGTGAAAGTCTGCAGAATCCATTGGGCTTACTTCTGTTTTACACGGGTGTAAAATGGAAATGGAGCCCACAGAGTTGATGTAGCATGCATACAATGTGGAGATTGTTGTCCTGCCTGTTGCATGTTCATTATGAAATTCAAGATGTGCATGGCTTGTGGGTGGTTTTTGTATTTCCGTGTTCCTGTTCTCTTAGTTACGAACTGCTCAGGCTACAATAAAATATTTGAAAAATGCAGACTGTATAAGCTCAAAGATGTAATTCCGTACTCACTTTCTAAAATGTCAGCACTGGAAAGGGAGCCTTCTTCTGAGTGATACAGTGGAGGTATAATGTTGATGTGCCTTGCAGTACTTGAATGAAAGGGGAAAAAAAAAATATTATTTCCTGGGAGCACATAAAACCAAAAATCGCTTACAGTTCCTAAATAACAATGTACTGAATTTCCATGCTTGGAATTGTTACACGCATCCTTTTTTATCAGCTGAGGAAGGAGGCCTTTCCTTTTTTTTCTTTCAACAGTAAAATATCTAACAGAGACTAGATTTGATGACTGTAGCCTCTCTAACTTCGTGGAGAAAGAAATACGTGATATGAGAGAATAGTACAGACACCAATTCAAAAATAGCTTCCTGATGACATCTCTTCTTGTTTAATTGAGCAGGATCATAGTTAATAGGTGATGTTGAGGCCACATACGCAAGAGGGAGTTGACTTCCAGAATCCCCTGTCTTTTCTGCATTCAAGCTAGTTGCAAGGCAGTCAAATGGAAGGATGTTCTGCTCAGACAAGAATTGATTTATTATATTACAAGCTTCTCTTTTAGTAAAGGTACCAAAATCCTTCCTTGGGAGGGAACGTTGGCACTTGAAGTGTGTCTTGATAAAATCTTATGAGAGAGGTGTAATAAATTGGCTTCTGGAGATGCCTTCACTAACTGTAGTGGAAACATAGAACACGGATTTGGGGAATGTCTCCCAAGCTTTCAGATAGTTACACCTCTGTAAGGTGAATCTCACATTAAAGGACACAGATAAGCAAATATTGTTTGAGCAGTTATCCTGCATAAACTTTCTCCTTGACTAAGGTGTACTGGGTCTGGTTGGGGTGGACTTTCCCTGCAGCAGCCCTCATAGCGCTTGCACTGGCTCTATCGGATATGGGGGAAGCTTCTGGCATCTTCTCTCTGAAGTCACCCCTGTAGCCCACCAGCTACCGAAACCTCACCACACAAAGCCAGTACATAAGGTTGACAGTTTGAAGACCTCATTGACTTTAGAACCTCAGATACGAGCAACGGCCAAAAGCAACCATTGCTGCAGCTTTGTAACCTCAAGATAAAACCGAGGGTGTTTTAAGAAGTAATTGTGTTCAGGCTCAGTGTCATGCTAGAAATGGCTCAGTTTTAGCTGCTCTGCTGGTAATGGGTGAAATATAAGGAGACAGGTTTTTTCTTGTACATTACATATATCTGGTCTTTGGATATGCTGCATCTTTCCCAGTATTCCTCTTACTAATGAGGAGGGATAACGTAGTTAAAGAGCTGTTTGACAGGCAGCTTCTTCAGAGCAGCATGGTCAAAAGATTGGATTGTTGACAAAGAGTGCACTTTGTATCTCTGTATCATCTATTTTACTCAGCTTTTCCTTGGATGGGTGAGTTGCGTTCTACTGGTCATTTTGTTATAGTGCTATAAACTGGTAATGTTTGGAAAGATGAGACTGTGAACAGAACAGAATAGAATGAACTGCTTTCTTTGGTTTTATTCTTCCAGTTGCTTTTTATTATGGAGACACCCTTGGAAACAAGGAAAATGTGTCTGCTTAAAAATTTAATTTTCAGGATCTGCTATTTACATTATTGTTTGGGTGAATGTACAAAATGAACCCCTCCTTAGGCAGTTATCTGAGATTGCCTTAGACTGGTACCACGCATTATTTTAAATTCTGGATTTTTAGATCGACATACAATAGAAGATGGAAATTAATTCAGATCTAAGTAGTCTTGGTTTTTGTTTTCCTAATCTCTCTCTCTCTGCTTTTCTCCAGGGTGATGAAATGAAGAAAACGGGTATTCAACCTAATTCTATGATGGACAGAGACAAAAAAGATGAAGTCCCTCAGGGTCAAGTATGAACTCTCTCAGTAAAATTATATGTTTTTATAGCGTTAATACAACATGTATGGAAAAATATTTTATGCATTAGCATATATTGGTGTTAGGGTATTTGAGCTGCTGAATTCTACGTTTTGGATGCAAAACAGGGTTAATTTTTTTAAGAAGCTGCGGAGAAATTGCTTTCAGATGTGTACTTAAATGACTGCTCTTTGCTGTTGTCACCTGTTGCATTCTTTGTGCTTGTAACTCCAGCTAAAACCACAATCAACTACAATTCTGAGAAACATCAGTAACTCTCTTTCCACTTAGTAAGTGGTTGCTTCAGCCCTTAGGTAAAAGGTTTCATTATTTTATCCTGAATGCAAAAAGAACTTTGTCACCTGTTCCTGGTTAAAATATTCAGGTTCAAACTTGTGGTATTTGTGATTTTAGACCAATGCTTCTTCATTTTTTTTTTTTTTGATAACTACAACCACTGTTTTTTGACATTCCTAAAAAAAAAAAATAAAAATAAATTGTGAAGAGTTTCAAACAAAATAAATTTAAATTGTCCATTAATATAAATGTAGATGTATAAGATTTTTTTAATGTCAGTGGCGTCTGATGTTTTAATTGTCAGTAGTTAGCACTCACAAGCATTTCATTAACTCCGAAATTAACAATAGTATTTAAAATAAATTAGAAATTACAAAGTATCACAAAATGGCTGCACATTAATTACTTGGTAAGGAAAACTATGGGAATTTTTATATTCTGACACTTTAACTCCATATGCTCTATCATATTTCAGCACAAAAACTATTTCCCTTATTATGGTAGGGAATTGGGAGTTAATTTACTGAATTTGTGTATTTGATATAAACCTGAAAATAGAAGAAACATATTTATGCATTTGGTTTATTTTTTACACACACTATTAGTTATCTCTGAACATCTTGAAAAGTACCCAGTATTATAGTATGTAGTCATCTTGGCATTTGTGAAAGAATTCCTAATGGAGTAAAAGCACTGAAATAAGCTTTTTTTTTTTTTTTTCTCTCTCTTTAAAACACAGTAGGTATTGTTTCCAGGTACAGTCTTTGTCAGGTTCTTTTTTACATTGTGCTCTGTTTCATACTTCTTAATAGTAAAACGGTAAAATATTAAGCAGAATAGAACGTTAAAAGCCAGCTTCAGGACTATAGTTGTAGCTGCTTTGTCTTACTGCAACATTACAGCAGGATGTGAGATTTAAGTCATACATAATTCTGTGAAAGTAAGCATTCCTATATTTATGTAGAGACTGAAAAAATTAGTATAAAGCATTAGCATCCATTTCCTTGGGCTCTAACAAAAAAACATTAATGAGTATTTTAATGTGGATTTTGATTAAAGCATTAATACCTTATTTAAATAACAATGATGTTTAGGAAATGAGGATTTGTATAAACGTGTAATCTCTGAAGAAAACCTACTTCTGCCTGGAGTACTCATCTTTGATGAGAATAGCTTGTACTTAGCTCTGGCTTGAGTGGCTGGCTCCATTGGTGTCTGTTGTGCTTTGCACCCTTCACAGCATAACTCATGTGAGGTCTCTGGGTTTGGTGGCTTCCTACGGTGGAGCCTGCACTGAGGATTTGTTCCTGACTCAGTGAGGATCCCCTCACCCTCTTTTCTGACCCTCCTTTTGGAACGTGTGAAGAAAATACAAATTCCAAAACTATGCAATGACCTGAAAGCCCTTTCAATAAGTAAGTCAAGCCAACCTGAGTAATGAAGGGAGAGAGAAGGAACAATTCACATGCTTCAGCCATTCAGAGTTTGTCCCAGAAATACAGTTTTCAAGTTGAAAAATAAAAAGTTTACTCTTGCACAGCAAAGATTAAAATGTTAAGGGTGACTTATTACTTGAGTCAGAACATGAAAGATCCAGCTTTTAAAGCTGGCACTATGTTTAGAGTGCACAGCTGGAGAGACAGGGTCAATTTATTTCAGAAACAAAATGTATTTTCTGGTTCCTCTTGCCTGTGTGTCTTTAGGATGTACGTACACTGCCTTTCCTGCAGTGACTTCAGTAGTTTGCTTGGACCTGAGTGAACTCTAGGCTTTCTGGCTAGCCACAGCAACATAAAAATCAATACAGAATCATTTATTCAGATCATCTAAACCTTTTACAGAAGAGATTTGTGTGAGTTTGCTCTGGTCAGAAATGGAAACTCTCGCAAAGGAATGTTTTTCATTAGCTTGAATTATCTTGGCTTTATTCAAATCCTAAATCCTGAGCCTTTTGTGGCTTTTCCTCCCTGACTGATGTGCATTTTACCTTAAAAGCTTTCAGGACCTTGAAGGGCACATTTTATTTGAAATACTGGGGTTCCAAAGAAAAGGTTGTTTGGTATCTATTGCAGATGGACTTAGTTTGGTTGAAATCTTTTATGTTTTCCAATAGCAGCACACTTCCTATTGAGCAAGAAGGTCTACAGTGTGACTGTACCTAAGGTCCCGTTTTAATTTTTGATAGCTATAGAGTAAGCTGATATTTTCCAGTGAAATAAAATAGTCAAATAAAAACAAACAAGAAAAAAAAAAAAGAAAAAAAAAACCATAGGAAGAAAACAATGCACTACGCAAAATGGCAAACTTTTTGTTGATGAGCAGGCATCGCAGCTGTGTGCAGCCTTGTCTTCTCACCGGCTGCGGGTTCTTTCTATTAGCTTACATTATGATTACTTCAACTCAGACCATTGGCTTCTCAGGTCAGAAAATGTATGTTGTTTTTTTTAAAAGTACAGAACGGACTTGGTTACCTAGCAGTATGGGAGAAATCTCTGTATTGATAGAGGTAAGGACAAGAGCTGCCCTTCGATTTCTGAATAAGGGCCAATGTTTGGACCAGAACAGTTTGGAAACTGTTAAGAGTTAACAGAGAATTGAGAGACTTCTTAACAGATGCTTTGGTCCCAGGACAATACATGGTACTTCACTAAAAGGCATTTAAAACTCTGCCCCAAGAAAGGGATCATAGCGCACAGCTGTAACTACCATGAGAGTCTGGGGTAAATGAGCGATGTTATAATGGATCTGAATTTAACCTGTCATCCTTGCTAATATATAAGTAGCATTTTCTAAAAATTCCCTTGTGTCATGACAATTCAGCTGTGACACAGTAGCTGTCATAGGCCCCCGAGCCTGTATGAATCAGGTATCATTAAAAAGGTGCTCGTTTGATGTTCTCTAGATAGATCTATATGATAATGGTAAAAATATATCCCTGACCGCTCCCATGAAAAGAAATTGCAAACCAATTATTGATCACAGTGCACATCTTTTAGAAACTTCCCAAAGGTGCAAAGCCCCTAGAATCTCAAATAAATTGAGCTATGGAATACATGCTCTGGAGGACATCAGAACAATCATATTTTGGCAATGCTGCATAACTTCCCTTTTAAAAAAAAAATTCATCACAAGAATAATGTTTGCAGAAGTGGCTCTGCCATCTTCACGCATTTCCTGCCACTACTGACACCGAAAAGCCAGACGGATCCTCAGTGAATCAATTGAATAATAAAAGGTCCTGTAGAAATTCCTATCTGAAGCAGCCGTATTGTCATGAGAGGCATGTAAGCAACTTCTAGTTGCCAGAGACTTCACTATTAGTGCTTCATTTTAACGTATTCAGATATTAAGAGGAGAGGCAGAAGTATGAACATAAGTAAAAATTAAGTAGTCCACAGCTTGGAGCTAGTTGCGTGTTAACTTTCAGTGTTGTAGTTTGTCAACATTTAACTATTTTTTTTTCCATTATTGTTTTCCATAGATTGGGTTCTACAATGCTGTAGCCATCCCATGTTACACCACTCTTGCACAGATCTTTCCTCCAACTGGGCCACTACTCCGAGCATGCAGGTGAGTAAATGTGCAAGGTTTTTTGCATAGTGTGTAGCTTGATTAAAGAAAAAGCAAACGTGCTTTGCAAGTTTGTCTGGAAATAACAGACTTTTAATTTTAGAATTTGCATGCAGATAAACAGGGATACACATATCAACTTAATCTGTGCAGAAACCCAGAGGCAACTGGCTGGGAATATCCGATGCCAATCTACAGACAAAGCTGATTAAAATGTCTTTGACGCCAAAAGCATTTAGAAAGAAACAGGTTCAGTGCTTATGTATCCCTGTCTAGGCTGGTTCAGTGCCATTTCCCCCTGTCCTTTTTACTTCAACATGGTTCTCACAACTAAGATTGGCTAGAATTCTGTGTCATTTAAAAAATGTGGTTTTGGAATGTGGTTTTGTTTCATGTCAGAATATTTTTATGAAAAAGCATGAAAAGAAAGATCACCAGACTATTCAGTAAATGGGAGCATAAAGGTAGTACCCCTGGGATGTGGAAGAGGCAAATGTAACTTTGTCCTATCAAGCAGTTGGGATGTAGCTTAAGATCTTCTGGAGGAGAGGCACGGGTCCTTAACTAATTGGCTGCTTCGACCCTGGAATGATGGTGGATCTCTTTGTAGGTAGTTCTGTCCAACTATTATATCCTGGACCTTAGCAATCTTTCCTGTCAAAAATTCTGTTGAAACCAGTATGCTTCATGGAAATGTTCCAGTTTCAGGTTAATCAGTATTCTCTAAAGAAAAAATGGTTGGTTCATAAAATGCCAAAAATCTTTAGTCACATCCAGGGAAAAGAGACCTGTTTTTCTATGCTCTTAACAGCACCTCTCTCATAATCTTTATTTTTTTTTTTCTCTTGTGGTCCTTACTTCTAGCTTGCACTGAATCTTTATCGTGTATGGCAAATCTACCCCTACTCTGTCACTTTCCTGATCTCGTGACCTGAATGACCCGTGTGGAGTAACAGTGGGGTGCCCTCTATATGCAGAACACTGTAAAATTTAACGTAGTGGTTAGCAGAATAATTTCATTCACACCCAACCACTATTTCTTATAGCTATGAGAAGAATATGTAGGTCTGTACCAGTGGGACGGAGAATTATCTTGTGAAAGTGCATAGCTAGGAGCCATTGTGAATAGTCTGGTGCCTCTAAGGTCACACTGCTGGGCATGGCTGTGCAACCCTTAGATGGACGTGGAGGGAACATTAAGTAGGATTAGAGACTATACCTCTGTAGTTATTACATGAATGGGGCTACAGCTGGAATCCTGTTTAGCTTCTGTGCTTTAAGAAGAGTAGATAAAAATACTGGCAAATAAGAGAAGATTAGGAAAGAGATTAAAAAATGTTTTGAGATCCTAAGAGTGAGAGACTAAAAAATCTGACATAATGTATTTAGTTTATCCAAGGGAATGACTTTATCAAAACCTGTAACTGTCTCCATAGTATGTTTTCTGATTAGACAAAGCTCATTAATTTGGCAGGTAAAGACTACTTGAACCCCAAAGGTTCAAACAAGGAATATGGTGAATGTATTTTTTAGCATTTGGAATAATGTCAGGTATACTTTTTAAAAAAGGTAGAAGGAGTACAGGTCTGAGGCATGGTTCCTGTAGTGGAATTGCAAAGGGCTGTCCTTTCCAGGCAGTCAGGCTAGGTGATCCTTGTAGTAGTGTCTTTGGTCCTTAGAAGCTATGAAATTAACAATATCTGGTAAATAACAGGCAGTAATTTGTTATGCTAAATTGAGTAATGTGGAAGTATTCATAAGTGCATATTTTAGTGGTTCCATAAGTTACAATATAGCATTAAACTCTTGTCTAGTTTCAAAATGCCATGGGGTGTGTTACTATCAAAGTCCAGATCCTGTTTAGGAATTCGGAGTTACACTACAGAGTAGGAATGTGTACTCCGTGAGCTACGTTGACCTCATGTATACGTGTTGATAGTTTTATTATAGATAATTGAATAATGTGTACTCTGACAAATAAAGAAGAGTTGTGTGAAATCAGAGAACATGAAGTAAACTACAGAACAACTTGTAATCCTTTCAGTCTTTACAAGGTCTTGAGTCGTCCAACTGCTTTACTGAGAGGTAGTCTGAGATCTTGGAAGTTTTCTAACTTCTTTCTCTATGTACTCCTTGCTTGAAGGTGTGTTTCTTCAGCTGTATTGATGGCTGAAAGCTGAATGGTTGGTTATTCAATCCATGTAACTGGAACACAGATTGTGCTTTGTCTAACCATGTTTGCAGTTTTATACTGCTTACATGGACTAAACAGCATCAAGTATAATACCCACCACTAGAAATACAGCAATACTTATCATGAGTGTTTACAGGTACTTGTTTCTACTCAAGCTAACAAATATTGTCAAATGGCTTTATATATGTGAAAATTTGTATTTCTTTGTATTGCTTATTTGTCAACATCTGGTTATACTTTTTCTCCTCAAAAGAAGTATCTATATGCTTTTAACATGAAAATGTCTTGCAGAGTCTGTATTATTAATAAAGTAACCTCAGCACTGGAGGTCAGGAGAGTTCTGTTAATAGCACAATAACTGTGAGGTCTTAAAAATGGGTTTGTATTTACTGTAGAACCATTTGCATAAGCCTGCCAGTCCCTTTGGTAAGAAGTTAGCATTTTTATTCCACTTCATTGGAACTGAGGCTTAGAGAGGCTAGGTTGAGTGCTTAAGACTGCACAGCATCTTTTTCAGGAGCCGGGTTCTGGGAAGACCCATATCTTTTGATTTCTAGCCATGTGGATATCCAAATGAGGCTTATTTGCAAAAGTGGCATGTACCACCTGATGGTCCATCTTTCAGTACCCCCAGCTGAGGCGATTTCAAGTTGAATTGTAGAGTATCAAGTACCAACATACATATGTGTTCTAGTTGAAATGTTCTCCATGATTCTGAAGATCAAGCATGCACATCTCTTGAAGAGTGGGTTTCTCTGCAAAAGCAATCAGACCCCTGGCAGAGATTATATGAACTTTTCCTGTTCGAGAAATCATGTTTGTTGTTTGGAATTCCAATTATAGTTATAATGCTGATTACTTCTGAAAGCTACATTAGCAGAGTCTCCAGCCTGGGCACGGTTCTGTACAGACACAGCTCCCACCTCGCCCTTGTGCATTCCTTAATTTAGATTGCACTGATACAGAACTGGGGCACAGATGTGTGGATGGGGTTTAAGTTCTCTGTAAGACTAAAGAGTTTCCTGAAAATCCACACCCTGGCACAAAGTCTGCTGAGGAGCAGTTTGACAGTTTTAGCTTAGCCTTGAGCTTACCCTCTGCTGTCTGTTTGAGGGGGTTGAGGAGGAAGTGTTGAGAGTTCAGACTTGGAGATGCAGAGTAGGAAATCAAGAACATAGATTTAACTTCATCTCCCCAATTACTAAAATGTATGTTACTGCAGGGTTTAGGTTACTCCAGAGTGTTTCAATTAGTTGATTTTGCACTACACTTTTTTTTTTTCCCTTTATTTTTGACTGGGAACTGTTCAGTGTGATGAGAGGAATACAGCCTCATTCCTCCTCGATATTGCCTCAGCTGCTGACTGAACCGATTTTGATACCGCCCCTTCACCAGCAGTGCTTGTTCTTGGAACACAGTGTTTAAGCTGCTGCGTCCTTGAGTTGTTTGGAACACAGACACCAGCTGCAAATAATAGCAGAAGAAGCGACCAAGGCGGTGTGTCAGCATCAAGGTTTTTATTTTGAGAGCCTCTGGGCATTTATTGCAGACATTTAGGAGCCAGGGCTTCATTGGGAGCACAAAGGCAAATTAATCACATTATCTACATCTTTAAAAAAAATAATGAAATAAAAAAGTATCAGTGATTTCCCTGAGGTAAGGTAGCAGCTAAGAATCTAGAAGGTTTTGTTGTCCAGTAATTTATTCTACATTTTTAAATACTCTCGTGTCATTCTGTGTAGATCAAGACTACCAGCCACCTGTGTTACAGTGTTCGGAATAAATCCTATCTGTGTTTGTAGCCCACATACTCAGTAGGCCTACCAAGTGGCAAATCTATGATAGTATATTTATTTTGAGGATGAGGTGATTTATTTTTTTCCTTTATTTTAGACCAAATAATTTGAAACAAATTTCCAGTGTGCTTTCAGGTCTCTCAATTTTTGCTGAAATTGATATAATTTAAAAATATTTTTGGGTGCAATTCTCCTCATTACATTCCCAATTTCAGGAAAGGGACCTAGAAATAGTGACAGTTCGGTTTTTCTGATCCTTAGTTGCCTGACTGTATTAGCTGGGATTCAGTGCCACATTACCACTGGCCTCATGAGTCCCAGTTGGCCAGGAGCAGGCAGGTTTCCATCTGCCCGCAGAAAATAGAGTAGGTGTTCCCCTAGAGGGCACCAGCTTTCTTCCATAGACTCCATCAGATCCTGCCTTCCCCATCCCTAGAAAGCACATCGTTTTCTCTTCTTACCTGTTCTCTGTGCTTTCAACTCATAATTTGCTGTGTTAGCAACTGTTTCAGCAAAGCTGTGGCGTGAA